GGGGAGTGACTGCTATGGGGTTTTTTGGGGGGATGTGATAAAAATATTCTAAAATTCACAACTTTGTGAACATACGAAAAACCATTGAATTGCACACTTTAAGTGGGTAAATTGTATGACCTGTGTATGTATCTCAATAAAACTTTTAAAGGCAAAACTCATTTATGGCAATAGAGGTCAGAATAGTGCTTACCTGGGCTGGGGGTGGTACTGACTGACGGTGGGGAGCCTCAGAGGGGCTGAAAGTGTTCCCCATCTTGACCTGAGTGGTGATTACAAGGTCTATACAGGAAAAACAATGCCTCACCTTGTATATGAGAGGTTTGTGCACTTTAGTTCATGTTTGTTAGGACACAATAAAAAAAAATCTAAACTGAGGGCAACCACTGAAAGAGTAAGAGTAGAAAGTATACTTTCTAAACCAGGAGACAATAAGCAGAAAATTCTCTCAATCTCAAGGACAGCAGGGAGGGAGGAAAAAACCGCATAGAGTGTTTTCAAAACCTGACCATGTACTTAGCTGTACAGCAGGTCTCATCAAACTTCAAAGGACACGAGTCCTTAGAGACCACATTCCCCAGCCACAGTGGATTAAGGCAGAAATCAGTAACCAGAGGTTAACTAAACTTTGGACCAGGCAGAAGGAGAGGAAGACACCCAGCGACTGGTGGAAACCTCAGAGGCCAAGGCCAAATCTCCCTTCTCCCATTGCCTGGGGCGAGGGCGCTGAGGCATTAGCGGGAACCTGGACTCAAGGCCCCTGAAGTCCTGCTGTCCCCGAGGATTCTGCGGCCTCTAGGACTCCACTCTTCAGGAGTCGGAGGTCACCAGGGTAACAGCGGAACTAACAAGGTGGTCCTGGGGAGTGCGCTCCCTGCCACACCCCGGGCCCCCTGCCCACTCCGCCCCACTTTAGCCCTCTGTCCTCAGCATGGATGTTCCTCGCTTCCAGAGGCCAGATTTAGGGAAATCGCAGGTCTGCAGGGGGCAGATGTGGGCAGCTGTGCAGTCCTGTTCCCTCACCCCAGCAGAGCCCCAGCCTTGACTCCTCTCCAGACTCTCCCTGATTCGGCTCTTTCCAACTCCGCAGGGGCCAAGTTCCCCATCAAGTGGACATCTCCTGAAGCCATCAACTTTGGCTCCTTCACCATCAAGTCAGATGTCTGGTCCTTTGGTATCCTGCTGATGGAGATCGTCACCTACGGCCGAATCCCATACCCAGGTACCGTAGGGGGCATCAGCTTGGGGCTGCTTCCAGGGCCCGGCCTGGCTCTCTTGTCAATGTCCACTCGGACTGAGTTCTTGACCCCACCCTCAGACTCCCCCCGCCCGCCCCATCTCAGTTAAAGGCACCACCACCCACCGGGTGTCTTAAGCCTGAAGTCTGGGGGCTTCCTCCACCCTTTCTTTTCTCTCACCCCTTACCACACCCAAGCAGCCACAGGTTCTGGCATTTGATACTAAAACACACCCCAAGTCTTCCCCTTCTAACTGCACAGCCTCCACCCACACCCAGGCCAACATCACCTCTCCCCTCCAGGGTGCCATGGCCACCTAACCGGCACCCTGCTTTCTACCCCCTCTCCTATAGGCCACCCTCTACTTGCAGCCAGAGAGATTTTTCTAAAATTGTCACTCAGGCCTTGTCCCTTCTCCACCCCCAAATTTTTTGTGGTCTCCCGTCACAATTAGGACAAAATCCCAACCTTCTAATTATGCCTGCAGGTCTTGCGTCATCCAGACCCTGCCTCCTTCTCCAGCTTCACTTTGCGCTGTGTCCCCCCTCTGGTCATCCCAAGTACCGCACGGGTCCCGCATGCTTCTCGTTCCGAACGCCCTACACTGTTTCCTTCAGGGTGTTCATCACAATAGATAACTATGTATTTGTTTAGTATTTTCCCCATCGGATTCTGAGCTCCGAGGCCAGGAATCGTCTGTGTCTCTCACCGGGGAATCTGCACTGCCTACTCAGTGCTCGCCACGTAGTGGGTGCTTAGTAGCTCTTTGTGGAATGGATGACTCGTCCACATGCCTGTGGGCAGCACCCTACACTGAGTAGAACACGTGGATATACAAAGGTGCCCCAACACACAGATTGCCTAGGACTCAGTAAATAATGTTGTTCTCTGTTCCTTTTTGGTTGGGATGGCTCCGTGGGTATCTATAGCCAGAACCTTGGAAGAGGGGCAAGGCAGATATGAAGAGTCCCTGATTTTTTATAAACTGTCCTGAATTTGAATCCTGTCCCCATCAACTATTACACTTTGAGAAATTCACTTCACTTCACCGCAGTATCTTCGCCTGTACAAAATACAGGTAATACCATCTCCCTTGCAGGAGTGGTTGTGAAGATTAGGAACAAAAGCTATGGACACTGTTCATGCAGCAGGACTTATCAAGTTCCTACCATGCGTTAGGCGCTAAGGATCCAGTAAGAGACCAGGTGCCTGCTTGTAAGGAGCTCAGTCTAGCCTGGAGCACACGCTAAGGAGACACACTCCCCGCTGGAGATCACTGCTGGGAAGAAGATGCAGCAGAGGCGTTTGAGGGCGAGGGACCCGGGGCTCCCGTCAGAGCAGGTTGTATTTGAGCTAGTTCACGGGCCCGAGGTATGCCCGAAGAGCAGCAAGAAGCCGGGCCGCTGGAGACCAGGAGTGAGAGCAGAGGGTAGACTACGAGGCGGGCAAGGCCGGAGCCGGCAGGGCCCACGGTCGTGGTGCACAGCGAGGGGGTGTTAGCCTAAGTATGCGGAGGCCAGAGAAGGGTTTGGGGCTGGGAGGTGGCATCATCTCATTTCCATGTTTAAGTGATGCTTTGGTTCAGTGCAGAGGGGGTTTGGAGCTGGGGACATGGTGGCAGCCGTAGCAGGGACATAGGCAGAGGCGGTGATGGCAATGGAGATATCAGCTGATGGGCTGATGCCACGTTTCAAAAGAAGAAAGGGGGAGACTTGCTGATGTGGAAGCGGAGGGAGAGGGAGGAATCATGGCTGATTCTCCTGGTTTTAACTGAGCAATTGGGTGCGCAATGGTCTGTGGGTAGAAATTCAAGAATTGTCTTTGCCCCGTTAAATCTGAGGTGACCAGTAGACATCCAAGCAAAGGTGTTCAAGAAAGCACTTGGATATATGAGTTTGGAGTTCAAGACTGGTAATATAAAATCAGGGACCACTGACAGTTAACAGTTCTTACGGATAACTAACAAATTCCATTAAATAAGGAAATGGCCTTATTCACACAGGGTGACATCGAGTCTCGTCACCTGTTTTGTCTTGAGGGTATGCCAGGAAAAACCAGGCAATGGGTTATGAAACCCTGTACCCATTAGGATGCATTAAGCTACAAGTAACAAAATAACAGACTAAGGAGTGGTGGAAACAGTAAGGAAATTATCATCCCCATAATGAGTGTGGCATTGGTGTCTGGTTAGTTCAGCCGCTCAGCAGCTCTCAGGACTCTGGGTTAGTTGGTCTGATTGTCTTCCTCACATGGTCAAATGGTTGCTGCTGCTCCAAGGATCACATTGTCTGAGTGTCCAAAGGAAGAAGGAAGCGTGTGTCTTCCAAAGTCTCTTTTTATCAGGGAGGAAAATCTTTCCTGGAAGTCTCTCTGGAGACTCCCCCTTGGCTCCCATTGGCCAAAACTGGGTGCCAATGCCCCTGCCCTCGCTCAAGGGAGTCTATGGATTTCACAGTTGGAGAGGCTCAGCTCCCACAGGAGGTGGGGAGTGATGGATGTTGGGGGAGGCAACTGTGTCTGCCACCCCTGGATTCCCGTCTCCAATCCCTCCCTTTTTAATTCCATGGCTCCTTCTCAGGGATGTCAAACCCTGAGGTGATCCGGGCGCTGGAGCGCGGATACCGGATGCCCCGGCCAGAGCACTGTCCCGAGGAGCTCTACAACATCATGACTCGCTGCTGGAAGAACCGCCCTGAGGAGCGGCCCACCTTTGAATATATCCAGAGTGTGCTGGACGACTTCTACACAGCCACTGAGAGCCAGTACCAACAGCAGCCATGATGTGTGGGACAAAGGCAGGGCCAGGCACTGAGGCCTGTGACGTGTCTCCAGCACCATCTGCCAGATGCCCGCTCACCTTTCCCACTTCCAGACACCCACCCTCGTTCCAGCCATGGTTCCTCATCTGTCAAGTGGGTGGGTTGGACTGGACAACCTCTTTCTGACTCTAGCAATCCACAATCTGCCATTCTCAGGAGACCCCAAGTTGATATTTCTATTGCCTGGGACATCTGGATTCCAGTTACAGCTGTGGTTTGAATAGGAAAATTTAAAAATAATGAAATATTTAAATAAAAGATGCAAATGCTAAAGGCTTTACTGACAGGTCAGGTTTTCCTCCAGTTCTTGAATATCTGTCTTTTTGCTGGACAAGTCAGAAATGGGGAAAGCCCCTCCCCAAAACCAGTAGTGCAAAGAGAAGTGGAGTTCGATATTCAAACAGCCCCAAATAGTTGCTAGCTCTGTTAGTTTCCTCTTGCTGTAACAAATTACCACAAACTTGGTGGGTTAAAACAACACAAATTTATCATCTTACAGTTCCAGAGATCAGAAGTCTGAAATGGGTGGGACAAGGCTATGTGCCTTTTGCAGGCACTTGGGGAGAATCCATTTCCTTGCCTTTCCCAGTTTCTAGCAGCTGCTATATGGTTCCTTTCCGCTCGCTACTACAAACTCTGCTTCAGTCATCATAGCTCCTCCTCTGACTCTGAGTCTCCTGCCTCCCTCTCTCACTTACAAGGGCCCCTATAATTACACTGGACCCACTTGAATAATCTAATCTTCCATTTCAAGATCCTTATCACACTGTAAAGTTCCTTTTGCCAAATAAGGTAACATCTTCACAAGTTCTGGGGTTTAGGATATGGACCTTGTTTGGGGGGAGGTCATTATTCTGCTTATCACACAGGCACTGGGACTCTGGATGGGTCTCTGTCTCCAAGGAGCTGGGTCTGCCAGAATGACAGGAATGATTTTTCACGCTCTGGGACCCTGAGCCTCCTGCCAAGCCACACTGCTACATGAGCTGGTGGATCTCCACCAGCACGGGGGGCGTTGCCCATCGCCAAGCAGCCACTGTGGTTGTTAAGAAGGTATCCACCATTGCCAGAATCCTGGGGTCTGGAGATGTGGCTGCTGAGAGGTATCTGGTTCCCAGCGTGGGAAGCTCTCAGTGGAGGGGAGGGAGACCTGGGAAGGAGGCAGAGAAGACAAGGAGGTATGTTGTCACCCCTGAAAGTCCCTAGCTTTTGTTGTAAAGGGAGTGATGAGAAGAGGTGACAGTGGGAAGGGAGCATATGACACCTTTCTATATTATTACATTCCTTGAAGAATCTGTATCATAGCACCTACGAGGGTCCCATGGAACCCCATACTGAACTGATTCTGTACCCCTGGGTGGCACAGAGTCTTAACCTTAGAAACTGGATATAAGAGCAGTGGAAAATAAAGCTATCAGTGCTTCAACTTACCTAGTTGGTAATTCAATTTCTCCTCTGCTTTCTGGTTTGGGATGTGTCTTTGGGTGCCTGAAAGCAGAGCACAGGGCTCTGTGATAGGATCTGCACTCCTGATTGTGGTACATTGAATTGCCATTCAGTAATCCATAGGAGGAGTATACTTCCCTACCCCGCTGATGTTGAGCTTGGCCATGAGACTTGCTTTAGCCAATGGGATGTTAGAAGGTGTGTTGCAAGCAGAGGCTCAAAGTGTGCTTGTGGGTCTGGCTTGCCCTCCAGCCTTTTGCTCTGAAAAGAACATGGTCCAAGAAAGATGAATGACATGTGGCACAGATCTGGACCCAACCTGCAGCATGGAGTGAAACCCAGCTGACCTATGGACATGTGAGAGAGAAATACATGCTTATAAGCCTTTAAGTTTTAGGGTTGTTTTGTTACATAGCATTATTATAGACATAATCTCAAGAGTTGGAGCCTATTGCTATGTGGACAAAATCAAGGAGTCAGCTCATGCATGCCCTCCCACTCTATCAGTTTACACTGCTCTACACTCTTGATTTATCCCTCTGGTCACAGGAAAGACAGGTGAAAACATGGGGATAGAACACCAAAAGCATGATCCATGCAAGAAAAATTGACAAATTGGACTTTATTAAAATACATGACATTCTGGAAAAGGTAAAACTTTAGAGACCATTAAAAGTCAGCAATTGCCAGGGGGCTAGTGGGGAGGGAGGATGAGATGAGTAGGTAGAGCATAGGGGATTTTTAGGGCAGTGAAACTATTCTGTATGATACTCTTAATGGTAGTTACATATCATTATATATCTGTTAAAACTTATAGAATGTACAGCACAGAGTGAACACTAATGTAAACTCTGGACTTTGGTTAATAATAATGTATCAATATTGGCTCATTAGTTGTAACATATATATCATATTAAGGCAAGATGTTAATAACAGGGGAAATTGGAGGCTGGATGAGGGGATATATGGGAGCTTTGTACTTTCCACTCATTTTTCTGTAAATCTAAAACTGCTCTAAAACATAAAGTCTAGTAAATAAACAAACCAAAACATGGGGATAAATTCTGTGCCAATTCTATGGGAAAACCATATAGTCCTCCCCTGGAAGGTGGCAAAGGAAGGTATGGACACAATGCCCCATGCTAATGACTTGCTTCAATCTACCCTCTAGCTGGGCTTTGAGTATAAGTATAGGTTCCCCTGTAATTTGAAATAAAATTGCCTCCTTATTCCCCAACCTGGGCCCTCAATTTTGTCATGTGTCTGTCCTCATCACAGTATATCTGAAATAAGACTCTATCAATTTACATCCTATTTGCATCTCTTCCCTTTTGAAGGTTGGCATTGACTACTAGTTGTCCCCACATCCATGTTCCCCCTTCTCCTGGAGAAACAGAAATTTTATCAGGGGCATGTGACTACCCAGAATGAACTCTACATTTCCCATTCCCTGTTGCAGCAAAGTATGGTCCTGTGATTACATTCTGATCAATGGGTTGTAAGTGGAAGTGTGGTACAGCACTTCCCAGGGTCCTTTCTTAAAAGACAAATGATGCAGACTCTTTGCCCCTATTTTTCATCTCTTCTTCTATCATGTTGTCTAGAATGTGCATGTGAAGGCTGGAGCTCTAGCTGCCATCTTGTATCTGAGGAAAATGAATTAACTCTAGGGATGGCAAAGCTGGATGGAGCCTGGATCTATGAAGATCTCTGAGGCACAGCCACCATACAGCTAGGACAGTCCTCCAGACTTATACCTCAGAGGGTGTGGCAAGCACGGTCAGTATTCAGTATTCCGTAAAGTGGCCAGGGCTTTTAGCTGTCATTATCTGCATCACTGTGCCTGAGGGCTCTTTTTCTAAAACTGCAAAAAACAAACAAAAACACTTCAGCTGCCAGTGTTCCAAGAAGGCCAAAAGTGCTAAGGAATTAACACCCTCTGGGACCAGTGCTCAATTACTGACTTTTGGGAGTTGGTGTTCAAATAAATACCCCAGCTCTCTTGCCTCTTGGTTGGGATAACTGTGAGGGGTGTGTTTTGCAGTTTCCCAGGCTTTCCCCACAGGATTAAGCTTCAGTCACCCACAGAGGTAAGTTGTTTGACAACATACCATCTCCAGGTGTAGTTCCAACATGAAGGCCGGTTGCCAGTTTCATTTATACTCATGAGTAAGGTGAAAATGGAATAAGGGAGTATGTGTGTCTTCACTCATTGGTAGGTGATGATATGAGCAACTTCTTTGCTGAATATGGTAAGAGTTTCCAATACTGTCACATTTTTGTGCTAATCACAATGTAACAGCTACAGACACAGCACACTTAAAGCTTCATCTGCATTATTAGCATTGGCTCCATCACTTTAAGTCTAGACCTAGGCTTGGCAAAGTACATTTTATTGGGACACAGCCACACCATTACTTAGTGTCTGTAGCGGTTTTTGTACCACAAGGCAGATCTGAGTAGTTGTGACCCAATCACATGGTCTTCAAAGCCTAAAATATTTACTATGCAGCCCTTTACAGAAAAATGTTGCTAGTGAAACAGTAATTCAAGTCGTGATTTGTAGCATTTGCTGACTTTTGTTATAAACAGTCCCACCATGGCCAATTTCAAACTACCAACCAGAACTATATTATGATATTCATGGGCCTTTGGCACTTTTGCCCTTGTTGGAACCTTCCTCCAAAAAATATAGGTTCTATTTATAAATATATTAAAGTAAGTATAAATTATAGTTGACAACTACATTGATATCAAGATGAATATATTAATATTATATATGAAGACATTATTTTCAACCCAAAAGTTCATTTTTCCCTTCTGATTTAAAAAAATTAATTTCTTTTGAACATTTTTGTGGCACCTAAAAGTATGGTGGGCCTTCTGCACTGTGTCTACTGTGTTAATGCATAAGTTGGCTCTGCTACCAACCCAACACCACTGACCACAGAGCTGGGAAGGGCTATGCAGTAACACACCATTTAACAGGGTTACACATAAAACAGATGCAAATAACTCAAGAGCATAGATAATAGTAACATATAGTAAAAGGATTAGGAAATGATAAGTTTTCAATATAAAATGGTTTTTCAATTGATTTTAGAGAGAGAGGAAGGAGGGAGAGAGAGAGATTTGTTGTTCCACTTATTTAGGCATTCACTGGTTGATACTTATATGTGCCCTGACTGGGGATTGAACCCACAACCTTGGCATATAGGGATGATGCACTAACCAACTGAGCTACCCATCCTAGGCCAATTGGTTGAGTGTTGTCCCATGCACCAGGAGGTCACTGGTTCGATTCCTAGTCAGGGCACATGGCCCGGTTGCAGGCACGATCCCCAGTAGGGCAAGTGCAGGAGGCAGCCAATCAATGTTTCTCTCTCATCGATGTTTCTATCTCTCTCTCCCTCTCCCTTCCTCTCTCTGAAATCAATAAAAACATACTTTTAAAAAATTAAAAAAAATGTATATTTCTCTGAAAATATCTTTAAAAAATAAAAATGAGCCCAGGAGGGAGTGGCTTAGCAGTTGAA